TATTGAAAATAAGCTCTTCACTTGAAAAAGAAATTATTTTTAAGTAACTATGAACGGTGCTCTACAAAAATTCTTCTTTAAGATACAAAAAATATACTATGGATAAAGTGTAAAAATTTGAAAAATAAAAAGGAACAATAAAGTACAGTAGCTGCAACTATGCTATAACGCATTCGTAAAATATGATATTAAAATTTTACTTTCATACTTAACATTTTACTTTCTATTTTACTTTCATAGTTAATGTTTGTTCGGTTTTCTTCTTTGTTAATTATTACCGCGATTTATTAAATCTGTGAACATTTGTTGAATTTAGAAATACAAGATATACCAAATCGATACTGATGAAAATTAAAATTTGTCAACAGTAAGGTTAAATAATCGAACTGAGGAGAAACATTTATATATTATAGTTTGAAAAGTACTTGTTTTTTTTTTTCCATAAGGAAAAAGTTCCGGAGCAACATGTGACATTTGGATTTCTCTCTTGTATTAAAAAAAATTGTATACATTCTGTTTACTTGGCGTGCATTAAGTTGTATAACTAAGTATAGGTTTAATAATATGAAGATGTTGTCGATGAATTATAGACTGGTTCCAGTAAAATGAATTATTAGTACATGTTACAACATTTTGTTGAGTTTGCGATACTATTAAACTACGACTGTTATAATTAATATTTATCCTGTGAATGTAGGAATTTCTGAAGTTTGAAATTCCGAAATTTATAAATTTGATAATTTCAGAACTCAGGAATTCTGAAATTCGTAAACCTAGAAATTTTAGAATTGTCAAGTTTGAGAACATGAGAATGTCAGAAAAAGGTTTCAGCACATAGAAACTCAGGAATTTTGCCATTTCGGAACTCGAGGAATTCTCGAATTTTTAAATTCGAGAATATGAGAATTTTGAAATTTCAAAACTTAAAAATTTAGGAATTCGCTAATTTTGGAATTCAGGAATCCAAGGCACTTAGAGGTTTGAGAATACGAGACTGTGAGAATTTAACGAACTTTAGGTATGTATTTGGTAATTTCACAATTTCGGAATTCCCAAATACTGGAATTAAACCACTTAGGAATTTCAGGTTATAAGAATATGCGAATTAACTTTAATTTCGGAATTTTGCAATTTAAGAATTTGCTGATTTTCGAACTCCGAAACATTGCATTTCAGAAACATAAGAACTTGAGAATTTGTAAATTTGAAAGTCTAGAAAGACGGGACTTGAAGAATTTCGGAACTTAGAAATTCAGGAATTTTGGCATTTGACAATTTCAGAACTCGCGAATTCTGCTCTTAGAAATTCAACTGTAACAGTATGCAAACAAAACACCACTATTTCTCTAAAAATGTCACTACTTCAATATATCCATTTCACGCGAACGAATCTACCAGTCATCAACATGTGAAATGACCCGATCCTAAAGCCTCGCTGGACTTCACAAAGTGGCATTCGTGATTCCGTGCAGCTGTTCAGCGCGAGAAAGGATGATGCATGCCTCGATATAGCGCATTTCCCTCGGCGAATGAACGCAAGAACGAGATACGTACCGCTTCGACGTTCGCCTTGGTCAGGTCTTTGTGCAGTTTCCTGAGATGGATGAGGGTGAGAGCGACGCAGATCATGTTGATGGCGATCCAGAGGACGTTCAGTATGTAATGGCGGAAGGGGCCGTGTACCAGGGGACAGCTGGGTGCATTATGACCCGATTCTGTGTTCGCGGCCAAAGCACCGCTCAAAAATGTCGGACCCAGGTTGATCGTGATACTCGCGAACCAGATCATGAATGTTCCGAATAAAACGCACTGAAACAACCAGGTAATTCACAAGCGTGTAAAGTTTTCAGTGATTCGTTAATATTATTTTATCAAAACACGTAATTGTACCGACCACTTTTTAGTTAGATGAGAATTTAGTTACGAAACTGAAGTGAAGAATGTATTCGAAGATTTTTTACTACCTAGAAATGCAGGGTTTTGTTTTTCACTAAAAGTGTAAATAACCCCGTTTCGCAATGGTCAAAGTGTATTGTAACCAGGAAATCTTTGATTGCTAAATATTCTATTTAAAGTGAAACTACACTCGCTGAAAGTTCTATTAATACCCTCGGTCATTTCATGTAGGAACAACAACCTATAATTGACAAGATCGAGAGTTTCTTTTTCACTTTATTTATTTAACGGGATGGACTCGTTGGAAAGTTGACAGTTTAGGGAGCGAGGAATCTAGGAACCCTGTAATTCAGCAATTTCGAAACTTTGCAGTTTGAGAATTTTGAAATTTATTAACTTAATGTCAAAGTTGTGGAACTTTGGAATTTAATAGTTTAGAGATTTCGGAACTCGGGAATTCTGGAATTCAGGAACCTTGGGCACTTGAGAATTTTGGAATTTTGAGGCACTGACATTTAGAAATTTATAATTGCGAGAATTTGGGCATTTAGAAATTTTGGGATTTCGGAGTTCAAGAATTTCAGATTCTACGATTTTGTGAATTTCAGAACTCTTGAATTCTAGAATTTAGGAACTTAAATACCTGAGCATTGTCGAATTTGAGAATATCAGAGTTTCTGAATTTCGCAATTTTGGTATTAAGACGTTCACACATTTAAAAATTTAGGAATTCAGGTATTTGGGAATTTCAGAATTTTCAAGCGCAGGAATTTAAAGGTTTATGGATCTGGGAATTTGAACATTTCCAAGCACTGGAATTCGAGAACTCAGATATTTGAGAATTTACGAATTTTTAATTAATTTACATATTTTAGGACATAAAAACTTAATAATTTAGACATTCGACAATACGGGAATTTCGAAACTCACGAATTAAAAACTTTCGAAATTTCTCTTATTCGTATTAGCAGAGAAATAAATAAGAAAAGACACATACGCGAGTACCTAATAGTGGTTTAGAGAAAGAGACATTTATAATAGAGACATGACACGCATTGTCAGAACGAATTCAGCGGTGGCCGCTTGCGGTGTAAACTGTTCGCAACGGAATACCCGCGTGATGGGATTAACCGTGACGTGTCCTTTTACCGACAGCCTTGTGGCTCGATTAACCCGTATGTGTGCGCGTACGCGTCTATTAATCAAACTTTTAATTATACAAACATCCGTAGATCGCCTATCGATTGCGACGACCCGCGTATCGTTATCATTTCGACTTGCTAAACTCTCGTTCTCTAATTACATCCGGTAACGACGTTAAAGCTGATGGATTATTCGTTTTCCCGCGGATGCTTGGGATTTGTGTAAATTATTCCACCGTTCCGAATCGTTTTTTCTTTCTTCTTTTTCTAGAAGGTGATTAGCGAGAATTTTCATTGGAATAATGAGTTTCGTTTATAGAAGCTAAATTGGAAGCTTGAATGTATTTCCAAATTAATGAAATGCGCATGCTGTCTCGATTTTCAGAAATGAAGTTCAATTTTAAGTTAAGGTGCTTTAATTTTGTTCTGGAAAAGATAGGACCGTGCAGAATTTGATTATTTTTGTTAATTAATTTTAGTAATTATTATATACTTTTAACAATACAAATATTTTACTAGAAGGGCTATTGAATTTAAAAAAAGAACTTTAATTAATTGTTCTAATCTTTTAACGTGATTTAGAAATTCCTTCAGTATTTATTCATAAATGTAAAATAATATTCTTCGTATAAAATTTATATAACAACTGAACAGCTTCGTTTGCACTTTTTCACTTCCGTACTCGATATTGCGTTTCTTTTTGCTGAATAAAGTGAAAATGTTGCTGTTGGAGTTGCTGAAATTGTAACATTGTAAAGGAGAGAGGTTGCACCGTGAAATTGTATCGAAATCAAATAATCGACTGACTTGCGTACTACAGAAATAAATTTTTATTTCACACAACACTCGCTGGGTTTCAGTGTTTATTTCTTACAAGTTGTTTAGTAGAGGAGAGGCCTTCTTTTCTGGTTGCGCGGAGGAGATCTTCTACAGGACACTCCGTCTCCCTAGGGCAATTGTATTTAACCGGTGTTTCGCAAACTTGTTACAAGTGTTCCGCGAAATTATGAAAATTCTGCGTTCTGGTTAGGAAAGTACGCTTGAACGAAATTTAGCCTAAGTACTGTGCAGTTTACAACACAGACAAGATACAACTTGCATTAGTTTCTTAGTTTTGTGATCTTGAGTTAGTGATTTTGGTGTTTCGCAGATTTTCCTTGTAATCAAAAGGTTAGGTGCTCGAAAAACCCTAAAAACTCTATGGAAAGCCCTGGGTACCGTTTCAGACGCTTCCAGGAAGCCCCCGCGTCAAGTTTTGGGACTCGGTCTCAAATTGGCTCCTCCCACAATGACTCCTAAGATTTTTAAATTCTCGAGATTTTAAATTTTTTCGATGTTTAATTTTCTCGAGACCTGAACTTCTTATGAAACAATTTTTATTCCTTATTTTTATTCGATTCAGTTTTTCATACAAAATTACTACCTTCCCAGTTGTACCACCCGTTACACGACACCCTACGGATAAACTATTATGTTTGTTTTTATCTGTATATTTCTCAGCGTAAATAATATCGCAGTCGGGTTTCCGTCATCCCTTCTGTCTTACTTTTAATCAATTTAGCTGATCAGGGATGAGTGTAAAATATGAAAACAATCAACGAAGATTACTCTGAATTGTTAATGGACACAGATTGGGATGATGGACTGCTGAAGTTTATTATTGACTTAAAACTAGCAGAAGATTTATCATGCAGCATAGTGAACAATCTAGTGAATCATTATACCGCGTGTACTGGGTCACTTGGAAAATTTCCCTTCTTTTTAATTCAGAATAGCAGCCATTTTTCTTGTCGAGCGTGAACAATGGTTTCGTGTTTTACATCACATTATTAGAGTGAAATTATAAAAGGAAGCCGTCTTTAGAAGAACAATAACGATGCTAGTGTTGTTTCTCGTATTTAGACGAATAACAGAACGTAATACAGGGTGGCGTAAAAGTCCCCGACACGTTTAACAATATCTCAATTTCTCTTCTTTTTAATATTTTTCTGCGTGGAAGAAAGAGTGCGTTTGAAAAAATGTTTACATAAACGTAGGTCGTTTGAAGCTTCGTTAGAAAGTTCGAAGAAAAATACCAGATGAAGAAGAATATACTTATACTTATCGCTAATAATCGCACACCCGTTACAATTCCCTCCGTACTTCGTATTATCGTTATAACTTTTTAATAAAGCTTCAAACGACCTATGTTTATACAACATTTTTCTCTTATTTACACTCATAGAACCTACTGACAAAGTTTGATCGGAAAGAATTGGGACACCCGGTATGTAATCTGAGAAATCGTCAGCGATTTCAATACACCAGGTCTGATCTATCGCCAAGTTCCAAGATCTCAACACGTATCGTGCCTCGGCTCGTTTTATAATAATTACTAAACACGCTGGAACGTACTCTCGTCTATAAATAATTTTTGAGTGGCACTCAAAGGCTAGGCTCCGTTTAATCGCGAACGGCGCGCTTTAGAGTTTCGCGCGTGGTGTCAGCTGTACTTACCGAAGATCGATCCGAAACTTGAGCCAGGCTCAAAGGCACTTCACCGTCTCTCAAGTCTTTAATTGAGTTAAACGTGACGTGGCCGCGAAAATGTACGCGCGCTTGAAGAACGCGGGAATTCGATTTTGTGAAAATTGGAAAAGCAGCTTTTCCGAGCCTTCTGCTCTACGAGATAGCAGTGTTTCAAGATACTTTGGCGGAAGGTTAGAGTTCAACTTTCGGATAGAATTTATTCTCTTCCGAATCTATCTGCTTTCATTGATAAGCGTGATGTTTAAAATTCTTAAAATAGGATTTATCGCGGTTAGATTGAAATTATCAAGTTAACAGAAATTTCTCCCGATTTCATGCCCAATTCTGTAATGTAGTTTAACTGTTCGCATTAGAACTATCTACCTGCGGTTGAAGATAACGTATACTGGAGATTACACGAGTCCCAAGTTTGCAGAACTCTTAACTAGTTTAAAGGACGATGACATTATGCATCTTGCGTATATTCGTTCGTCGTTAACAAATCAGCGGCGTTATTACTCGAACAAAATTCTTCGTTAATGGTAAATTCACAGGTATTTTTGTTTCACGAATGCTCGTTCGTTTTTACATTGATTTTTTATTGTATATGCGTTAATTTCGTTTTTACAAATATATTGATGTGCAATATTTGAGATATCAGTCGTTGCAGGTCTTTATATTTGTCTATGTGATTACTAAACATAGTGAATAATAATAAAGAGTCTGATTGAAATGATTCTTTCGAACATTTTCTGTTATCTCTCATCTACTTATTGTCCTTCGTTATTTATTTATTTTCTACTTACAGTTAGAAATTTAGGGATTTAGGAATTGAGGAACCTAGGAACTCTGGAATTCAGCAATTTCAGGGCTTTCGAATTTGAGAATTTAAGAATTTCACAACGTGGAAATTTTGAAATTTGACGACAAGCATTTCGGAATTTTGAAATTCTGTAATTTGGGAATTTCGGGATGTCAGAACTCTGGAACATTGGAATCCTAAAGCTTAGGGACTTCGGAACTCAGGAATTTTGAGAATTTTCAAATTTGAAAATATCACATTTCGGAAATTAGAAATTTTTAGGCATAGGCATTTGGAAAGTTAGAATTTTGGAAATTTCAGGAATTCAAGAGTTTCTAATTTTGAGAATTTGGAAATTTCGGAACCCCATGAACCCGGGAATTTAGGAATTAAAATATTTGAAAATACGAGAATTTCGGAAATTTGAAAATTTAGAGCTTAGGCATTTAGAAATTTAGAATTTTGGGAATTTGGAAATTTCGGAACCCGGGAATTTAGGAATTTAAATATTTGAAAATACGAGAATTTCGGAAATTTGAAAATTTAGGGCTTAGGCATTTAGAAATTTAGAATTTTGGAACTCAGAAATTCTGGAATTCAGCAACATAAATATTTACGAATACGAGAATTTAACAAGTTTTAAATACGAGGACTTAGACATTGAGACATAGAAAGAATCGAATGGGTAAAAATTAGAATAAACTAAAATAAATAAAAGTAGAATAAAAGAAACGATTCTTTCTAACATTTTCCATTATCTTTCATCTAAATTATTTTTCATCGACTTGCAACCCCCAAAGTTCGTCACCGAAATTCCCGCATACCCTCTAGTCATTTACTACCTCCAAACGACAAATGTTCCTCGCCTTTCCAAGTTGCAAATTATCTCTGCCACCGATACCAATATATCCAAGTATCATAATTCACCGGTTCAGGACGAGGCACGGTTGTTTGGGCAATAAAATGATCGATCGAGCGTACTGGCGCGTCGCCCGATTGCCAGGGATGATCGTTTCGTTATAATTCTTCTCGGTTTTCTGGGATTCCCTTGGCCAGCAGAAGTTTCTCCATTATCGTAGCCGTGTTTCGTCTTCTTCGCTACTCGTGGAATTTTCTTCGACTCGACCTCTTTTTTATCATACGGTTAATCGTACTAAATGCTTCGTATTTAGAATCCTTGCTGGTAATTTCGTTTCTGTCGCTGAATTTACCGAAAATCCTTTGAGAGCGATTTTTGCATCGGTATTCTAGGTACTTTTTAAGGGGTCATGTACGTTTCTAGGCACTAAAATGTGATCAACAACGAACTATTCAGCTGATTGGTTTAATTCTTTTTCGTTAGAAAAGTACACGTTTATAGAGTAGAAAACAGAAATGAAAAATTGAAAATTCTTATGTAGAATGACGTAAAACGGGTTTCTGTGGCGTTGCCCTAAACGGTGAGCATGATTCAGCTCGTACGAGTGGTCAGAAACAAAAATTTTCGATTTTCTTTTAGCGGTTTTTGGGATGGTAGTTCTTGGCTCAAGAGGGTGTTGTTTCTTCAGTAAAAGCAAATTACAGCAATGGCAACAATTTGAAAAAAGGGTCATGATTTTCATTTAAAACCCCGTACATTTCCTTTTGTTATTCAAAAATGCTTCAGTTTATTTAGAAGCCCCCCGTGAGCCGATGGCGAATCTTATTCAGAATGTGTGTGCGAAAGATGAAGTTAATCGGATGAACGATGAGGTAGTTATGCCGACCGTTCTGCACCATGCTGTGCCGAGAGAAACGCGTTTAAAGTTTTTGCAACAATACCTGTGGTTTCGTTCGAACTGCTATAACTTCGTGGATAATTCGAACTTCGAGTTTGCTTTTGGGCTGAAATTATTTCTACGATATTATGTACTTTTCAAAATATGCAAAAGAAAAAGAGAAACGTGGATGACCCCTTAATAGAGATTATATCTAAATGTTATTGCATTTTAGGTACTTTTCATTCAGATTATATCTTAATGGTACAATTTTAATGGAATCATTTTTTCGTTGAATTTAGAAATTCTGTTCCGTATTGTTTCTGTACATTTTTGGGGTTGGTAGCTTTATGATTGGCCATTCGCATTTAACAACTTGGTTTAATTAGGTTTAGTTAATTACGACGATCCAGTGACTTTTATTTATGTTATATTATTCGATGTTAAGTAGGTTTAATTAATTGCTCTTTTTTCTATGGTTATTTGTTATATGCTAGGTTTTTGGAACGAGTATAGAGAATAATATAAATGGGGTTAGGGAGTTAGGGATGCAATATTGAGAAGGTTTTTATTAATTGTGTTGTTTTTGTATGTGAAAATTATCGTGTTAAGAGTATATTTTTTTACGGATGAAACTATTTCTTTTTATTTTTTATTTCTTCAGTTGTGTAAGCTCTTCGATTTTCAAGGAGAAGCATGGAGAAGGTGCTGATTATTGGTATACTTAATGTGGAAAATAGAGAATACTTTTTACACTTTCTTCCATTTATTCATGAAACATTCATCATTTACTTTAAATTTATTTCACACTTAATTTCCTTCAAGAAGAGGTATTATTAAACTATTTGGATCGACAGAAAATTATTCCCTTTTCATATCACGACATTTGTGCAAAACCTCTGAATTTCTGCTGTTAGTAAAACTTCAAGTAACTAATAAATTACACAAAAAAGTCTCGATAAATGTACTTCTCATTCAGCTGTAATTATCGCATTCAAGTCTTGAGTAATAATTTTCAAACACTCCTCATTGAATCAGAATATCTCAATAAAAGATTGAAAAACATCAGAAGCGTTAAACTACCAAACATACTTAAACAAGGCCACTAACACCACAGTTATTTTGTAACGATTAACTCCAAATAAATTCAAATTGTTACCATGTATTATTATAAAATCCCATTCTAACTACCAAAAAATTCAGAGCACACTGCCGATGCACGAAGCTTAAAGAAATCAAATCTTGCAATCGTCTAATACAACAGAAATTGGAAATACAAAATTTCAAATAAGTTCCAAATAAGAAGAAACCAAATCTTGCAATCGTCTAATACAGCAGAAATGGTAATAACAAGTTCCAAATAAATTTAGAGCACGCTCTCAATACACGAAGCTTGAAGAAACCAAATCTTGCAATCGCCTAACACAGTAGAAATGAAAATAAAAAATTCAAATAAATGCAGAGCACATTTTCGATGCACGAAGCTAGAAGAACAAAAACAAATCTTAGAATCGCCTAATACAACAGAAATTGGAAATACAAAATTTCAAATAAGTTCCAAATAAGAAGAAACCAAATCTTGCAGTCGCCTAATAGATCAGAAGCGGAAGTAAAAAATGGCAAGAACTGTCAAAAAGTTCAGGGGACGTTTTCTTAAAGGAAACGAAATCTCGGAATGGCTTAATAGAGCAGAAGTGGGAGTAAAAAATTCCAGATAGGTTCGAAATAAATTCAAAGCACGCTCTCGATATACGAAGCTTAAAAAGGGACCAAATCTCCCGATCGCCGAATACAGCAGAAACGGGAATAAAAGCCAGAAGAACACTTGCCTGAGGCGAGTCCATGAGCAGAGGAGCCGCCAGATCCGCCTCCTCGTCTGTCTCCGGAAAAATCGGGCTGTCGTTCAGTACTGTCGTCAACATGTTCACCGTCGAGACTGTCACCAGCAGTAGAAACGCTGTCTCGACCAGGGAACACTTGGTCATTGGCTGACAGTTCAGGATGCTCGATCCGAGGGGCAATAAAATCGCTGCTCGAGCGCAATCCACCATCGCCTGGTGGAACAGCAGTCCTTGCGACCACCTGAAACGCATGATCAAACATGTTAGACGGCTGCCGGGTTGTCGTTTGTTCCTCTTGGGATTAAGTGAAATTCCTGGAAATTCTCTCACTCTTGCTTTTCCTCGAAACTCTATTTGACAGTTCGATTTGAATTTTTTCCTCGTTTTTGCGGTTTTTAATAGCCTCTGATACCAGTAGGAGAGAATAGAAGGGAGGACATGCTTAGAGAGTGTTGTATTAGTATGTATATTTGGAGGATGTGTCGTGTATGTACTGATAGAAATTATGCGAATATACTGAATTGCCTGTTTACACAGCGATAATACATGCTAACAAGGGAACTTCGTTAATCAGAAAATTCCGATCTTTTTGAAATTTTGCAAATTTGTAGGGGATCTCGGTAGAAGTATCTTCCTTTTTGCTACTTTTCGGTTTCTCAGGGCGAAAACATACGTTAAAGGTAAATATGTTTTCCGACTTTTCTGTATATTTTGAAAATTATAGTAGATACTAAGAAATTGTTCGAATGAAAATTTCGTTAAGGTGTTTTACTTTAAATTTCGTTCTTGAAAAACCGTGCATATTGGCTTACAGTCAGTGTGCTTTATCAGTAAATGTGCGATACTTTATTCAGGTCAGGTGTAAGTACGAGCAATTATTTTTTGTCGAAACAAATAAAACGAATTTAAATATCTGCTTTATTTTTGTGGTTTCTATATGTTTCTTTTTAAAAAGTTCATTCAGCTAATAATGTTTCTAAAACGGTGATACGATGTATTCTTGAATTTGTTTATTTTAAATATAGTATGCAATGTAACATTTTGGAGGAAAATATAATACTGTGCTTTGCATTGCAACTGAAGTGGATGAAATCAAATAGAATAGGTCTAGTTGTTAACAGAAAATGCTCTATAAAAATGGAAAATCATAAACTTTCACAGGCTTCCTAATTTTTTTTCTAAATTCTCGTCAATATTAAAAATTCGAATATATCCTATTATGAAAACCGTGTGCATTATCACTTAAAAATTTCTTTATTCAAACAGCTATTGTCTACAGTTGGAATTAAAGAGTAGCTGTGAATAAATTTGAAGAGTATGGATAATGAAATTCCAATGTTTTATGTCACAATTTAAGAACTTCATACTCGGTGGACACAGCGGTTAAAAGTTTTACGAGACAGAGAATTTATTACAATCTGTGTTAAATAAAGTATACCATGCGGTTGAGGGATATCGTATCTCCCAATTCATTCTGAACAGAGAAAAATGGTAGAGAATAATCCATTTATAATCTCGCTTTTTCTCACGAGCACAGTTTTAGAGAGTTACTTTTACAAACTAATTCAGGTTTCAAAGCGTTAAATCGAACGTTTTCTGAATTAAAATTTCCATCACAATTTTGGCCCTCTAAATTTTAAATTAACTTGTATATCAAATTAAACTCGGTAGAATTTCTTTTTTAAATATTAACTCCCAAATGAAAGTTAAGAAAAAAAGTAGGAAGGTCAAGAAAAAATTGGTCAGACTTCAAAGGGTTAATCTATCAGCCACTCGGGTGCTGGTTCCATAGGAAATGGTTCTTTTATTGGAATTACCTGCGCAACTGGC